TGAAAAACAGTTTGATTAAGACGCAATCATTTCCGTTAAAAGTGTCGATGCGCAACATAAACGAAAAACAAACTTGTAAATCAAAATGACATTAATGTATACCAAGCATTTCCACTGGGTCTCAAATAAACATTGCTAAGAAATCCCAAATGCAATAAACATGTTTACTAGGTCAAGCGCAAGGCGATCAACAACGCACGCAAAAGGCGCAATGAATGAAATGATTGTTTGCATAGCTTAGCATACTTGCAATAAGCATAATCGATTGCGTGTGACTTTTGGCACATGGTATTCAGCATAAACAATATTGAATTATATCTTCGCAATTGGTTAATTAATAAAACTAACAGAAACTGAAATATACATTATTCTACAATCGCCAGTCAGAGTGTTAATACCTTGGAATGCCAGCTCAGCTGTTTCTCTGGGGCTAAACCGACAGAGTGGAAAAATGGCTAAGGATGCTACACTCAAAAAATTTATCACATATCTAATGGATGAAAACCATGTAAATTTCACATACACAGAAAAAAAAAGTTGTTGAATATTACATCCAAACTGCTGCAACCAGGTCAATCCATCGGTTGTGTAATATAACGTTGTACGATGTACATCGATTTTGCGAACAAAATTACATCCATTGATGTAATATTGTATCTGCTTTTTGCTATTACATCGTTATCTCATACATCAGCTTGAATTACATTGATCGATATTATATTTTTTTTTTTTGCTGTGTAGCTAAAAATCCTACCACAAAATCACATGAATATTATGTGGCCGATGAAATTCATATGAAAAATCATATAAAATTAACGTGATCGCATACATGTTATGTGAAATTCTGATGAATTCCATTAATTTTGTTTATGGATGAAAATCATTTGCGTTTCCAATGGAAGCTACATGAAAACTATTTTCGGTGTATTTCAATGACCACATACTGGAAAAAACAGCCGGTGACCTTAATAAAAAAAAATACCATTAACAAACGATAACCCAAACGATTAAACTATTCCACAATTAGTTTGGATGATACCCCAAACACGTCGTTAAGCAAATTAACCATAACATTTTTATTAGGGGAGACCAGCAGCTTGTGCAGAAGTTGATGGCACGTATCAAGCCCCCAATTTTTTTTAAATTTTCATTCGAGAGGAATGCAAATCGCAAAACTCATTGTATCTTTAAACTACAATAAATACATAACATTTTCTCTATTACACAGTTCTTTTTACTTAATTTTGGGTAATTTTGAGTTTTGCATCCCACTCTCACTTTTTGCTGTTGTCAACGAGAGATTCGACTTTCTCATGACTATCGTTCAATAAGCTACTAGCATAGAGGTAACTCTGTGAGTATATGAGATATTCTCAAATTTGAGTCAATTGAACTTAATTTTGGGTAGAAAATACATACGAGTAAGTAATTATTTTTGCCGTAGCCAAATGCAAACTACTATAAGCGATTTACCGAAAATTAGCTTATTGAACGGAACATGGGAGATGAGTGAAAACAACTTAATTTTGGGTAATTTTACGGTTCCGTGTAAGGTTTAGTCATTTTCATTTTATGGTGTACAAGGGGGTCAGGGGTATACACAGCAAAAAAAAAATGTAATATCGATCAACGTAATTCAAGCTGATGTATGCAATAATGATGTAATAGCAAAACGCAGATACAATATTACATCAATGGATGTAATTTTGTTCGCAAAATCGATGTACATCGTACAATGTGATATTACACAACCGATGGATTGACCTGGTTGCAGCAGTTTCGATGTAATATTCAACAACTTTTTTTGCTGTGTAGTCGCTATAGTCATAGTCTGGCGGATAGAATTTCGATCTATCATAAAGCGGAACCAATTGGGTTCTTTAATTTTGAAAAATATATCGGTTTTTATATATCATCTGAAAGAGCTTCGTTTTCTCAGCACAGCGATATTTTTTTTCGAACCCACACAATTTCATCTCGATTTTTAAATCAATATTTAGAGCAAAATAATAACATCACTGTTTGACACTAAACTGACAAACTGACAGCTCGCTCAAAGTGACACCGAGGGGCGCTAATAAGTTGATTTTTGCAAATGTAATCATTCTCATTTAAAATAGTTCCAGTGTACCAAAATTGATGATATTTTGGGTTTGGGTTCCATTTTTAATGCAGATTTAATATTTTTTAGACCAACAATTGAAAAAGTACTATGAACTTTTATAAACAAAACGATGATTATTCTTTCCTCGCCAATCGAACGCAAATTACCGGCATCATCGGATAGGGGAAACTTTTGCCAACCCAAAGATGGTGTAAGTTTGCGTAGACGAGCCTTGAGTCACGAGAAAAGGGTTTCCGAAATTTTGTTCGCAATTGCTGATGTGCTCTTTTCTGTCGTGATTTGCTCGATTGGTTCCGCTATTTGACAGCTCAATTGGTTCCCGAGATTCTATCCGCCAGACTATGAATATAGCGACTATTGTCACTGGGCCATGTCACCGATGTGAATATTCACACCAAGGTGACTACATATAGGTGTTCTAATGTGTCAAATTCATGATTCAGCCATGTTGGATTTTTGTATGGGACAGCGACCGAGTTTGTTTACAATTTGCTCTAAAACCGCACTTTTCCTCCCCGCGACCTCCTCGCCTATATAGTGACAAAGCTGTATCACCATTTATATACCCACCATGATTCACACCATCCATAATACACCAGGGAAGGGGAGAGGAGTGAGCAACACAGCATCTTTACCCATGGGGGTTAAAAAAGTTCTGCGAGGTACACTTATGGTGAACCAGCTGCTCAGGGATTGTAGAAAGGAAAAGGTTTGGGAAGATTTAAAATGCAGAATTAGATCCAGGTACCTATCATAGAAATTTGCATATCATCTAGGGTAAATGTTGGCTTCGGCACCTATTGACTGTTTTCGGCAACCAAAATTTAAACGTTAATTTCACTATGTTTTCCCATCAACGCACTTCCCTGAATGTGTCCAAACGATTGTTTAGCCTTTCAGCTTCAATCTGATTATATTTGAACGATCGAGCAATCCAGTAATGCTACATTTTTCTTCAAATAAAGCATACGCACTACAAAATGGGGTTGATTTCGAGTTGCCGATAATAGAACAGCTGGTTAACACGCAGTTCTAATGGGAAGGTTGCCGAAGAAAAAGAGGCTGCCGACAATAGTCACACTCACCTGAGAAGTTTGGAGCGTTGTAAAAACGCTTTCAAAACGTTTTGAAAAATTCTGTCGATTGGAATGGATAGAGAAGCAAGCAGCAGATGAATGTAAACAAACAGACACATCATATATGTGCGTGACGCTGAGAAAATGCTAGTAGAACTGCAGACGCTGCTTAGATTGACGAGAATACGTAAATTCCCCTAGTTATGATTATTGTGAATAATACTTAAATTTCGATAAAGATGATGCTAACTATTTTACCTTTTATGTGATATCCATCATCACAGAATCCAGCCTTGAATCGCAGACCAGGTCCACTAACAAAACACCGAGAAGGGGATCATGGTCATCCTTTTCTTCTTCAGGTTCGCTCACCACCCGGAATGAAGGCTCGGTGCGGTTATTAATATCAAACAGTGTTGCAAACGAAACAGAGATACAACCAGGATTAGTTTTTTAAAGTAATAGTTTCATCTGAAAACCCAACTAACCATATCTCAGTGACATTGTCCCACTCTAAACCCACACCTAAAGCTATTTTGTGATTATATGGTTACTTTGGTACTCACATGAAATGTTGTGCAAGTACCACAAGTTCAACAACGCCCAACTATGGATAGCTCAATGTTAATACCATTTACTCTATGAATCAGCGTACACCAACATGATAATCTTCTAAGAAACACCCAAGAATGTACAGAGATAAATCTCATACTGCAGTTTTAACTGATGGTACTTTATAAACATCAAACTGTCCAATATTGGACCCTGCCAACACACGGCGCCTGCACGGTAATGTGGGCCGTCAGAATGCTTCATCGGTTGCGAAGTGAAGTGCTTCTCAAACTGAAGCGACACATTTCTCAATTTTTTTAAAACTGCGAGAATATGGGTGTATATCTTCACTGTAACAACTACGGGTAATCATCGAAAGAACTTTCATTTTACTCAGGCACTTTTGAGCAAACTGCAATCACTCTCTCATACTCGAAATGTGCCACGACCAAATTGGAACAACGACGCCCTATACGCTATCAGACCAAAGCGCAGGGCATTTTCTCTATTAAGGTTTAGTCTAAACCAAACAAATTCTAAGACACATCTGATTGAAAGCGTACCGATTCTAAATTGGCAGGGCTTTATTATTTTTGCAATGATCATTTTTTTTTTTCTACGTCCGCGATCTCGAAATGCTTATTCCTGGAACACAATTTTGTTTATTGAAGGATTCAATCAAAATCTTAAATCAATTATCACCATCTAATATTTGGGTCTCATGATCAAAGCAGCCCAATAAATTTCGATCTAATGGACTTCGAAAAACTTCACGTTTCTGCAGATCGAGTAAATTTCGAGGAAACATGAAAATAATAATAATAATAATAATGAGACTAAGAAAATTTGGACGTGAACCTGAACTTTTGTCAAGAATCTTGAACTAACAAATAATAAAATAAAAATAAATTTATTCTGTTGCTGAGTAAGAGGGGGTGGTACGCCTATCTAAGGTGGAATGATTGCACCAACCTGCCCTGCCCGGCTGAGATCAGGCAGCAGTTGGGAGGTTTCCAGCTTCTTAGCTCACATCCGGATCGCCCCTAACCGACCGGTCGGCCGGGGAGTCAGATTCCAATGGATATGGTTCCTACGAGTGCCGGTCCGACTCGAACGATGTGAGTTCTAGTTATGAGAATTCGCTCAAGCAGAAAGCGATGGACCAACGATGGAAGAATTCGCCTTCGTCGTGAAGGAGGAAAGATATTAACTGGAATAACTGGTAAAATCTTTTAATTCAAGGATCAGAATCAGAAAAGCTTAATGAATGTGGCGTCCATGCACTTCGAGCACACATAATCGTCGGGGTCTTCGATTTCGGCACATTTCAGGTGGAGCGTTTCACCGCCGCAGGCCTTGCAACCGACCATTTGACCTTTGTCCTTTTTTGAGTTCGCATATTGGCAGTTTTTAGCCGAACACGAGCACCCATGTAAATCCTTGAAGTAGGTTCGGTCGATTTCCCAGCTGGCGTCCCTCATGGGCACGAAAATTCCGCGCATTCTCGCGTAGTTTGGGAAATCGTCCTTCTCGTGGCAATGCGGACATTTGAAATAGTAACCGGCTTCGTAGGCGTATTTTTGCAGACAATCTCTGTGGTACCAGGAATATTCGACCTTTGGATTTTCCGATGATTCATCCGGTTGACAAATTGAATGAAAGCTGGACACAGGATTGTACGCTTGCAACTGTTCCCAACAAATCCAGCACAGTTGATTGGGGAGGTGTCGTAATTCCTGATCGATTGGCAAATGTTCGTGGCAGTACGAGAGGTACTCTCCGGCGAACTGCGTTAGACAGCCCTTCCGAAAGCCACAGATGTAGTGGAAGTAACGATTACAGTCGCTGGCATTACATTTGATCGGAGCCGAATTTTGATCACAACAGTAGCACAGCTTTTCACGATAATGAACGAAGGCCTGCTTCACATCGCTCAATAGAAACCGAAGAACTCCTACTGAATCCGACGACCCTCGTTGACGAATGTGCGTACCGGAAAGGAGGCAAAAGTAATGACACCGCACAACGCTCCGTGCTGTCGGTTTCTCGATAAATGGCCCAAACTGAATGGTGTTCTTCTCCGATAGGAGGCAAACGTCGCAGGGGACTTCCTCTTCCGAGCTGAGTAACCGCAGACGCGCGGTTTGCATCACGACCGGCACAGACGGACTGGACACGCTGGCTGCCGACGAGGATGCCAGATGCTTCGTTATAAGTCGTGTTGAAGCTGGAATATAGAGATTAGATAAGTACCTACACATACAGTGTCCAGTGTCCCGTTGCTACCAGTTGTACATGGTGGTGGTGTGCATTTCATTGGTTGCTTCATTAGAAGGTAATGATTCCGGATGATCTCGTCTCGGGCCGCTAACGTCTCGGTGATCTCACCTAGTCCCGAGTATCGCTTGTTTTGCATGAGATGAATGGTGGGAAAAACTTCTTGCAGTTTGAGCAGTCGCTCGTACAACGGTAGGTTCTCGAACTCCGTTGCATTGACATCTAGCCGGGTATCGGCGGTGATCAGAGTCCGGTGAATTTGGGCATACCGTCTGTAGAAGGGATTGGAGTATTCGAACCCTTGGATCAACCGTAGGAAATCCTTATTACTGATCAACCTGTTCGCTACTGATGGGTATTGCGTGGTCAAATTTTCAGGCAGGCATTCGGTGCAACATACAAGTGGTTCAGTACTCTACAACGATGAAATCTACAATGAATCTGAGTTGGAACGGCAGATACGTTTTATGCTATTACTTACGGAAGCGTGCAGGCGAGTACTGGTACCGGACGATTGCTCATTCGCCGGAAGGTAGATCAGAAACGGAGTGTAGCGGAAGCATCGTTGGCAGGAGAGGAACAGTACGCGATCCAGACCGGAATATGGATAGTCTTGATCTTCCAGGAGATCTTCTGCGTATTCCATAGCTTTCTACGGTAAAATTTAATATTTTCTATACTTAATTATCTAAACAGAGAAGCGCACGAGAAAATAACGTCCTTCGCTCGCTTGCTTACTTTTGTTGTTGTTTTGTGCGTGATTAATTCAGGGTTGCCATCAGGGCATTTTTTCATAAATTTCCACTGAGAGGTGCACGCTATTTTGAAACTACCCAAATATGAGTAAGATCTAATCATATCGATCAAAAGTGAAGTTATTAGCTGCACTCAAAAGTATAACAATCCAAAAAATGATTTAAATTTAATAATTTTATCATTCTGACATGTTTATACATTGATCGGATAAAAATTTGACAAAACGGTTTACATAGCGTTAACTTCACGCATGAAGTCATAAAAACATGATTAGTTAAAGTATTAAATCAATGCTGACTATTATCACTGAGTGCTTAAAATTTCGCTGTAACTGACTGACTAGTTCGCTGTAATAGAATTTTCGTAGAAGCTTGTGCCATCAGCTACCAGATGGACTAGTATTTTTGTTTTGATTTGAACAAAGTTGTTTTTATGTTCAATGATCTTTGACAGTGTGCAAAGAGTGTACACTCACAGATAAATTAAATCAAAAGAGCTTAAAAAGTATGCAGATTCCCGCTTCACCTTATTGAGTCCGTGCCATAATTACTTCGGCAGTACCCTAATAAAAAATAACCATAAACGAACGACAACCCAAATAATAGAACTATTCCACAAATGGTTTGGATGATACCCGGAACACGTCGTTAAGCAAAATAACCATAACAATTTTATTAGGGTAGTCATTAGAAATACTCAGAGGGAGACACTGAACCAATTTGACATATTCCTGTTATGTGGAAATCTAATAAATTTGCGCTATAAGATAATCCATTGAAAATGATATGATTGAAAATGTGTCAGGTAAATTCTATATGAATATCTGATACATTTACAATGCTGATAATTTGGTAACTTTTATGTGATCGTCATATGATAAATGAAAATCAGTCAAATTATAATAATTAACTGAAATGGATTTGAAACCCATAAGCATAAGCTTTACATTTCACCACAATATAATATATGTGTCATAAATCAATCGAAGTAAAGTTTATGTGAAAATCACATGAAATTTACTTCTTCTTTTGACACATATATTTAATCGATTTCTAAAAATAAATCGAAAAATAAACATCAGGCAGTGGGAGCTTTCACAGTTGTGTCTTTTTTTTTATTGTAGCTGATTTGGGATTCGATCAAGAACTGTTGAGGTGTGATGCTTTCGGTTTCTGCGCTCGATTCCACTGGGCCACGGCTGACTTCAAGATTGAGCTCGTTCAATTAGCATGAAGTAAGAACAGCTCTCCCGACATGGAATGTAGTGCAACTTTATGCTCGTTTTGCTAGAGTGAAGACAAATAGCACTGACAAGTTTATGTTCCGTTTCGGTGGTGTCGTTTGTTCAAATCTTTCTTAATGCGCCTGTGTGCAATAAAACAACGACTAAATTATATGAGTTGATGGAACTGGTTCATGAAGTTCGAGTACTAGGGCTGGAATCTGAATTAGCTGTTTAGAAGGCTTACAATTAGAATCACAGCAAAGTAAATATTGCAGTAGAATCATTTTTTTTCAATCTCAATACATTCTTTTCCGGAACCCCTTATCTTATGAAGCAATAACAAACAAAGATTATTCAATACAGTATCATTGTTGTTAGCAATATTTACAATATCAACAATATCAACTAATCATTTTAATGAGTGTACGATAACATCGTTGAAAATTGTTTCAATAATTTATGAAGAGCAATCATGTAAGATGTATTTTATTTTGAGCGATATTCATCCCAGAAAAAACATGCCAAAACAAGCAAACGTTTGTTGGATTTCTTAAAAGGCAAATCTATATGACTATATAATGATTGGGATAAATCTGTTTACAATCTTTAAACCTCAAAAATCAAAGAAAGCTATTCCAATGAGATATGAGATATACATGTTTTCCTATACTGCAAAGTTAAATGACAGTCCAATAGTTTCTACATGTCTGTTTACACGCGACATATCAACAAACGTCAAAAATCGTTAAAAGCAACTTCAATAAAATAAACATGATTATCTTATAAGATATATCTTTTAGCCATATTCATCATGAAAACAGGTATATTCCCGGAAAAAAATAACCATACAATTACCATAAAATAAAATACAGTTACAAGTAAATCTATTGCCAACAATCGATCTTATTGTGTGTATATAGTACACGAAGTTTTAACATATTGTTATTACAATAGATGTACAATACGTCCCATATAGTAAGAGTTTTCAACAATAGAACAACAATACAATTAATGGTAAATGGTTCAAGTTTGTTCGGGTAAAAGTGATTTTTCGTATGGTTAAGATACATAACGACCCCCTTAATCTATTGTATATTCCCCCATTTACCATAGATTCTATTGTAGAAACAATACATTCTATTGTTATTTTATCGTTGTGGAGAATACGATTTATTGTAAATACCATAAACTCTATTGTATGGTTACAATACATTTCATTGTACCTCTACGGTTCTTTTTTTTACGGGTTGTACTGAATTGTCTAATAATGCAAACTTATATGATTTTCCATTACTTTCTAGATGTCTGTTCCCACATATATCAACATGACATATCAACAATTTTTCACCATGAAATATATCAGACAATATTCATATACTTTTTACCTATCGCTAACCACGTTCGAAGCAAAGTATTATCATAGAGGTAACTCTAAGACCACTGGGTCCCGAAGAAAATCATTATTATTTTTGGCTCACTCAGTACCAGAACAACGGTCCCAAGCAGTCCCAAGCTATTTCACTCACCCCTGCATGTTCTGCATGAATCCACACACCCCTGATGTTATCTGTCAAACTTTCATTGCGAATCAAAACAAACATAGTGTAGTAATAGAATTTCAACTAGAATAGGGTACGTTAATCGTTTGCTTGGGACCAATAGGCTACTAAAGTGGTGAGCCAATTTAAAATCGTTAGTTTCGTATTGATTGTTGATTCTACTGTGATCTGTCAAAAGTTCTTGGTAAATAAAAAAAAATAAGCTGATCGCAACTGTCTCGTGGCCAGTTGGCTCAGGCTCAGGCTCTTTAATTAGATCCAATAATGTAATTAAAGAGCCTGAATTTATAAACAGACGACATGTCAAAATTGGAACAATCGATTATCTGTCAAAATGATAAGAAAAGTCATTCCAATCGAGCAGAAGACCTGTCAAATGGATAAGATGTCGTCTCTTTATAAATTCAGGCTCTTTAGATGTAATGGCAAAACGATGTTTATTTATTTTTTTATTTATTTATTTCGTCAACCAACGTAGACTAGTACCAACAATCAATACGAAACTAACGATTTTAAATTGGCTCACTACTTGACTAGCCTATTGGTCCCAAGCAAACGATTAACGTACCCTATTCTAGTTGAAATTCTATTACTACACTATGTTTGTTTTGATTCGCTATGAAAGTTTGACAGATAACATCAGGGGTGTGTGGATTCATGCAGAACATGCAGGGGTGAGTGAAATAGCTTGGGACTGCTTGGGACCGTTGTTCTGGTACTGAGTGAGCCAAAAATAATAATGATTTTCTTCGGGACCTACTAGTCTTAGAGTTACCTCTATGCTAGTACCACAAACGAAGTGACAGACGGAGCGGCTCGAAATTTGGTTTGACGCACTTACATTTGAAATTTTCGATTGTACCTCACGGCAACTCTATCTACTCATATGTACTAGCTTAAAGTAGTTGATGCTATTGGGGCACCGCCTGTTATCTCTTTTTCTCTAACGAAAATTGAAAGGGAGAGCCTGTTGTCAAACTGCATGTCACTATGTTGTGTTCATTGTTATCTGCACTTTTTTTGTATAATGAAAGACCTTAGGCCAAAATGATTAGGAGTAAACACATCGGGTTAACATTTGCTTACAAATAAACGATGTTGAGCTGTCAATGACTCGCGCTTTTTGGCGGCAATTGTTGCTAAAGATTTCATCAGTCGGTGCTCCTAACCAAAGCCATGGTCATTCGCGACCGAGAAGATATCGTTGTTGGACGCCAAACAGGACCCGCCCGTAAAAAAAAATCCAATAAAAATACAATGATTTTGAATGGAGATTTTTGTTGATTATCATAAAATCAAAACGAAAATCATGGTATATGAGAAATGTACAGTAAAAAAGGGGGGTTGTTAAGCATCTTAACAATAAAAAAACTGATTTTTCTCGAACAAATTTGATCTCATCAAATTAATTTTCATTGAGAATTGTATCTTTTAAAACGAAATTTATTTTTTCACCCGTCCAATAATTTAACAATAAATTTATAATGTGCCCGAAATTCAACCGTAAAAATCATTGTAATTTCGTTATTTTATTATAATTTTTTTTTTTTCGGGTGGCCATACTCGGTATGCATTTGCTCCTCCGTAGAGGAACTGAAAGCTCTCGACGAGGGCGATCTGAAGAAGGAAAATTTACTCCAAAATCATGCCGAAATCCATCGAATCGATCGACGTGCTGAAGGTGAGATGGTGAGAATGAAGGAGGATCGGATGAAACCAATTTTGTTCAATTTATTATTTATTTCGGCTAAAGATGCTGTATGTCACGCGTTTGAGCATGATTGCGGTACGATGGTGCGATGCTCTATTCTGGACCGGGCTACTAGACGTGGCAAAACTAGTCATTATACCTGCTACGCGTACCTTGTTACCTGAAGACGAGGAGGGAATCTTCAGATTCATGGAGGAGGACATCAGAAATGAGGAAGCTCGTATCCGAGGACAAAAGTGTTACATCTGCAAGGAACGGTATGCAAACGTTTGGTGTTGCGCGAAGAAGTGCTTCCGTTCATTCCATACGCTTTGTGGGATGCAGAATGAGTGCCTGTCGCATTACGTGGAAACGTTCCAGTCGTGGTGCGATAAGCACGTAGCGCTGGTGGATAAGGTGAAACACTCCGAGACCGAAGCCTGTGGGATTTGCTACGATGATATGGGACCGTACAGGAAGCTGGAATCGATTCGTGAC